GGGGGGGGGGGGGGGGCCCACTTTTTTTTTTTGGTCCGAAAAAAAAATCGTAACGACTCAGCCAGCCGCTAAATAAGCAAGGGGGGGGGGGGGGGGGGGGGAAAGGACACTTTTTTTTTTTGGTCTCGAAATTTGAAAATTTGACATTTTGTTCCGTTGGGGGGGGGGGGGGTGAGGTCACCTTTTTTAGGTCAGCCATTGGCATTTTTTTTTTTTTTTTTTTTAATTTAAACAAAAAAAAATCACAGAAAGGGGGGGGGGGAGGGTTGCTCCAAAATACACACATAAAAAAACCGAAGGGGGGAGGGTCAACCCCCTAACCCCCTCCCCTTCCGAAAGTGCCTACTCGTCTGAAAAAAAAAAAAAAAGTTCTTCCCCTCCCGCGCGAGGTCACCTTTTTTAGGTCAGCCATTGGCATATTTTTTTTATTTTTTTTAATTAAAAAAAAAAAAAAAATCACAGAAAAGGGGGAGGGGGAGGGTTGCTCCAAAATGGGGGGAGGGTCAACCCCCTAACCCCCTCCCCTTCCGTACGTGCCTACTCGTCTGAAGAAAAAAAAGTTTTTCCCCTCCCGCGCGAAGCGCGGAAGCTTTTACGTTTCATTAAATCATTAGAAAAAGAAGACGATTCGTTGTACAGTTTTTTACTCTTAATCCTCGTCTTAATTCATCCCCTCTCCCGCGCAAAGCTCGGAAGCTTTTACGTTTCATTAAATCATTAGAGAAAGTAGACGATTCGTTGTACCGTTCTCGACTCTTAATCCTCATCTGAATTCAGTTTTCCCCTCCTCCTTCCCGCGCGAAGCGCGGAAGCTTGTACGTTTCATTAAATCATTAGAGAAAGAAGACGATTCGTTGTACCGTTCTCGAAAATAATCCTTGTCTGAATACAGCTTTTACGTTTCATTAAATCATTAGCGAAATAAGACGATTCGTTGTACCGTTATGACTTTTAATCCTTGTCTAAATTCAGTTCCCCCTCCCACGCGAAGCGCGGAAGCTTTTACGTTTCATTAAATCATTAAAGAAAGAAGACGATTCGTTGTACCGTTCTCGACTCTTAATCCTTGTCTAAATTCAGTCCCCCCCCCCCCCCCCCCGCTTCGACGTTTCATTAAATTTTTAGAGAATGAAGACGATTCGTTGTTCCGTTCCCGAAAATTATCCTCGTCTGAATTAAGCTCCCCTGCCCTCCCCCGCGCGTAGCGCGGAACTTTTTTTTTGTATTAATTCATTAGAGAAAGAAGACGATTCGTTGTACCGTTCTCGACTCTTAATCCTTGTCTGAATTTCAAATATGTTCTTTGTCTATTCCCTTTTCTTCCTACGTCCTCTTCCTTTACACTCCTCTCTTTTTTGGCCGGCGTTTATTGGGGGACCACCCCACCGCCCCCCTGGCTACGCGCCTGCTGTCAGATGAACATATGTTGATACCTTGTCCGCCCCGGAAGCTCAGGGGTTTAAGGTTTTAATTTACGGTCCGATTAGCATTCAGGGGTCCGCCTTAGCGCCCTAGACGGAGTCCAGGGGACAGAGCCCCGGAAGTTCAGGAGTTTAGGCATTTAATTACGGTCAGATGAGCATTATTTTGATACCTGATTGTTACAATGGCAGGTCACTAATTGGCTTGGGGTCTAGGGGGCGGAGCCCCGGAATCTCAAGGGTTTTAGGCACTCAATTCCGGTCAGATGAGTATCGAGGGGCCGCCTAAGGGCTCTTGGTTGGGTCCAGGGGGCAGAGCCCCCAGAAGCTCAGGGGTTTTAGGCGTTTAATTACGGTCAGATGAGCATTTTTGATACCTTATTATTTGTGACACTAGCAGGACACTATTTGGCGTGGGGTCCAGGGGGCAGAGCCCCAGAAACCAGAGGTTTTAGGCATTAAATGACCGTCATATGAGCATCTAAGGGCCCGCCTTAGGGCCCTAGGTGGAATGCAGGGGGCAGAGCCCTTAGGATTTTAGGCATTAATTTTAATCATGGTCAGATGAGCATATTTTGATACCCCATTATAATGTGACACTGGCAGTTAACTGTTTTTTCTTTCTCGCTCTCTTTCTTTCTATTTCTCTTTAATATACTTTTTCAAAGAAAGTGTGGGGGAGGGGCTCGAGGATCCCGATCCCCGCCGTTCCGCGGGCCCTGATATGTAGGCATCTCAAGAAGCATTTTCTTGCCTGGCTGTAAATTTAGGAATTTGTCATTTTCCAACAAACGCATGAAGTGAGGAAAATTATCTCATTTCAGCATTTTGTTAACCACCGTTATGGAATTATAAATAAACCACGTTTGAATTCTATTTCTCCAACCTCCCCCCCCCTCCCCTATCAGTATGCCAGTGCCCCCCCCCCCCCCTCCGATCTACACCTTGTTGGCGGGAAAATTGCAACTGATATCCCTTACCTTTCTTCATTCTCTTTTTTTTCCTTTCCCTTTCTCTCCTCTTTCACTTTCCCTTCCCTTCCTTATCTCTCTCTTAGGTTTGCTGGGGGGGGGGGGGGGGGGGGGGGGGGGGGGGGGGGGGGGGGGGGGGGGGGGGGGGTAAGAGGACACATTTTTTTTTTTTTTTTGGTCTCGAAATTTGAAAATTTGACATTTTGCTCCGTGTGGGGGGGGGTAAGGTCAGCTTTTTAGGTAAACCATGGGAATTTTTTTTTTTTTTTAATTTTTTTTTTTTTTTTTTTAAAAAAAAAAAAAAAAAAAAAAAAAATCCAAAAGGGGGGGATTTTAGAGAAATTTAGGGGGGTTTACACACAAAAAATTACCAAAGGGGGGGGGGGGTTTAACCCCCCAAACACCCCCCTGTGTACGCGCCTGAATGAAACAGATTTTGAGCGGAGTAATTATCTTTCGACGGAGAACTTGCGTAAGGAGCTAAAACTTAATGTTTTTTAAATCAAACATTATGGGGAATAGCAAAAAACGGCTGAGCATTTATTGCACTAATTGCCAGAGGAGCATTCATGTCTTCCACGAGGCCGCACGTGTGGATCAGAGAGCAATTTAATTGTCGGCGGAGCATCGTCTTTTGTGGGGTACTTTGGGGAGGAGCAACATTTACTGTCGTAATAGCCTTTGTATTTTACGGGGCACTTTTTTTAGCGGAGCAAAATGTCGGCGGAGCAATTGTCGGCGGAGCAAATGTCACCTGAGCAAGTGTCGCTTCAGGCGGAGCAAATGTCGGCGGAGCAATATTATTGTCGGCGGAGCAAATATCACCGGAGCAATATTATTGTCGCGTTTTGCGGAGCAATTGTCGGCGGAGCAACTGTCGGCGGAGCAACTGTCGTTCGAGGAGCATTTGTCACCGGAGCAATTGTCGCGTTTTGCGGAGCAATTGTCGGCGGAGCAATTGTCGGCGGAGCAAATGTCGGCGGAGCAATTGTCGGCGGAGCAAATGTCGGCGGAGCAATGATGTCGGCGGAGCAACTGTCAGCGGAGCAACTGTAGCGGAGCAAATGTCGCGGTACACTTGTCGCGTTTTGCGGAGTAAATGTCGGCGGAGCAATCGTCGGCGGATTATTTGTCATGGAACCTACATGGAGGGTATAATAGATCTTCTTCTTCGTTTGGTATTATAAATGGCTATTAGTCAAATTTGACTATTGTTGCCAATTTCATCGCATCTCTTTTTCTTAATGTTTTGGTTAAAAATTATTTTTTTAAAATTCCCATCTCATTTTAATATAATATTAAGTCATAGTCTACCCAGTTTTAGGTAACAAAATGGAATAATATATTTTTTCATTACGGCGTAATCTCGCTGGGCTGGTAAGAAGGCATCATAGAAAGGACAGGGCCAGCGTGAGTTGGAACTGTGCCGCAGTGCGGATCGTCGTTTAATTTGAAATAATTTTTTTTCTATTTTTTTGTTACATAACACTGGGTAGACTATGAAAAAAAATCAAAATGAGATTGGAAAAAAAAAAAGAGATGCGATGAAATTGGCAACAATAGTCAAATTTGACTAATAGCCATTATAATACCAAACGAAGAAGAAGAAATGGTTAATTTTTTAGGCCTCCACATGCCAGTATTGTTGCTCCTGGATTGATGGTGAGACGGCAGGCGCGGATCCAGGATTTCTTAGGGGAGGGGGCCCAACTTTTTTTTTTTTTGCTCCCGAAAATTTGAAAATCGCGCCGGCCGAAAAGTCGCTCAGTGGGGGGGGGGGGGGGGGGGGGGGGGGGGGGGGGGGGGGGGGGGGGGGGGGGGGGCTGGTACAGAGCACAATTTTTTTTTTTTTTTTTTTTTTGCTCCCGATAATTTGAAAAACGCGCCGGCCAAAAACTCGCTCAGTGGGGGGGGGGGGGGGGGGGGGGGGGGGGGGGGGGGGGGGGGGGGGTAGTGAGCACATTTTTTTTTTTTGATCCTCAAAAAAAATTCAATTTGCACCCCCCCCTTGAGCGCCAGGGGGGGGGCCCAACCCCCAAAAAGGTAAAAATCACGTGATTTTACATGATTTTTTTCTCAAGGGGGGGGGGGCCCGGGCTCCCCGGGCCCCCCCCCCCCCCTGGATCCGCCACTGTGAGACGGTGTGGTATAGATGTTACGTGTGTGGAATTTTTTCTCTCTGTTTCCTCTTTCAAGACCCACCTCGGATAAATTAAAAACATATACACACAAGATACGAATCTAAAACAAAACAGAGTAGAACAAACAACCCCCAAAATAATACAATACGGATGAATGCCATGCAAAAACTAAACGATTTATAGAAAAATCGGATAAATAAATGTTAAGAGATATTTTTTGTCATGTTATGCCTAGATTTTTCAATAAAATTTACGTTAGAACTGAATCCTAACTATTATATCCCACAACTCATCCAAAATAATGGTAAAAATAAGCATTAATCTTCATGATTCAGATTCAATATTGAAGAAACCGACAACGCCTACATGTTATAGATAAATGTCCCCTTTTTGATTACATAGTCTGCTGCCCTCTGCGGGCGTGCATATACGCATGCAATTTCCTTCGAGTTTCAACTTTTTCAAGTTGCTAATATTCTAGATTTAGCTGTGATTTCGGGAAAAGAAGGTCAGCCGACGGACTATGGAAAACTTACTCACGTAAATATTTCAAAGGAAGAGCTTCATCAGCAAGCTTCATTCGCTTGACTTTTATGGAGGAACGTGCTTCTCTTAATTTTTTTGAGTTTTAAAGTCGGACGATTGTTTGGTACACTTGTATTTTACATTCATCTCACTCGTTCACCGGTACCGGTACCGCAGCTCAGCGCTGTCGTTATAGTTCAGTGGCTATACTGTGCTTGTGCAGTCGCCTGATCCCAGAGCTAGCCGCCTACTGTGTGTTGGGAGTTCCCACGGTCGCGGTCAGCTGTTCATCGTCATTGCTTGCTTCGCATTACAGAAACCCGTGTGCAAGTATTGCACTTCGCTTGAATAAAGTGAGTTTTCTTCAGCGAAGAAGTCATTCAAATACACCAAGATGAGGGAGTATAAAGTTGTTGTTTTAGGAAGCGGAGGAGTGGGCAAAAGTGCCCTGACAGTACAGTTCGTCTCGGGAAATTTTGTGGAGAAATACGACCCTACAATCGAGGATTTCTATCGCAAAGCCATCGAAGTTGAAAACACCATGGCGATCTTAGAAATTTTGGATACGGCAGGTACGGAACAGTTTGCGTCAATGCGGGATTTATACATCAGAAACGGGCAAGGTTTTGTAGTAGTTTACAGCGTAACGAGCAAACAATCCTTTGGAGATGTTCTCAATATTCGTGAGCAGATTGTAAGAGTTAAAGGAACTGACCGAGTCCCGATGGTACTTGTTGGGAATAAAGCAGATTTGGAGCACGAGCGGCAGGTACCCACCAGTGAAGGAATGATCCTCGCCAACCGTTGGGGCGTGCCCTTCTACGAGAGCTCCGCTAAGAGCACGCAGAATGTGAACGATGTATTCGCCGATTGTGTGGTAGAAATCATGCATATATTGGCGCCACACAAGCAAGTCAGCGGGGGTTGCTGCTCCAAGTGTGTGTTATTGTGATTTCTTACTTATCTACATTAGGTGAGTATTGTCATTCTGATCCAAACTTAACAACAATGTCCTGATGAGTGATGAATATAAACTTTCTCAATGGAAAATGAATTATTAATGCATACAATATGGATCCAGACATTGTCAATACCGGTATACATTTCTTATGGGCGGGTGTCAATTTTTCCTGGTAGGAGGGGAAAGGGGTTTAAAATCTGACAACGATTTGAATTTCCTGAGACTGGACTATTTGCTTAACCCCGGGCTATAGTATAGGTGGGGTTAAAGGGGGTCTTAGCCCCACCTATAGTCTAGTCCGGGTTAAGCTTATTACATTTTCTGTTCACACATGTATTTACCAAAGTGGGCTAGCACCACCTATATAGTAGGGGTTAGCTGGCCCTGCAAAAAAGTAGGGCTAACCCCGCAATGGTGGTGCCAACTCCGCAATTGTAATTGCAAGCAGATGAATGACAACAGAAACGAAAATAGTCTGGTACTACGCAATGGAGCAAATTAATGAATATTCACACTATACAGCTATATGTAGTACGGGGCTAACAAATTGCAGTGAGAACAGCATGAATTTTCTTATTCCGGGATAGGCGCTTACTTAGTACAGGACTAAAAAAGCGTGTGTGAAAAGCCAAAAAAGTTAGTCCGAGCTAAGGATAGTACGGGGCTAAGCAAAGTACGGGGTTAAGCAAAAAAAGTGTGAAAAGAGACTAAAGAGTAGACCTTTTTAAGAGTCGGTCAAATATGACTCATGAGTCAATTCAATACATTCTACATACATGCACATGTACATTTAAATGCTTTCAACTACTTGGGTTGTTCTCTGACTAGTGTGCTGCCTACTACAGCTTGTACATTGTAGTTCATGTTCTCTCTCCTTTCACATAAAACATTTCAATAAATTTAGGTAGGCCTATACACCGTACATGTACATGTTCGGGTAGGTTGTGTAAACATGTATTAATAGTGACATGCTGTAGTCTGAAAATAGTGGAAGCTCTTTTAGGTGACACATCAACAGACATGGACTCCATGGAGGTTGATGATTGACGACTCTAAGCTGAACCTTGTTAGAAGGTCACACACTCATCTTTGTACATCTACATTCTAAAGATAGCAACCTACTTTATCTTATATCCATGTGCACAGACTAATGCATGCACAATCTACAACTTCATTCAATTCTGTGGTCTTGATGTTGTATACCCTGCATGTACATATAACATACATTGTAGCAATATGTTGAAACGTATGGGTACAAGTTTTTACTACATGAAGTCATGTACAGTGTACATGTTCTATTTACTTGTGCAGTGTACATGTACTTTAATAAAGGAGGTCAACATGCTTTGAATCCAATCATTATTAGTTCTTTAACATGTATATGTACATGTACAGTATACTCCAAACGACATGTACCAACATTAAAACTAACAATGAAATGCATACAGTATTGTACAGAGTACATGTACAGTAGGTCTGCATGTAAATTGAACATGGTACTTTCAGTTTCTTGTGAGACCACAGATTCTTCAAACCAATACTTGGCCTTTCCTGTTTCCTGAGAAGATCATGTACCTTGATGCTCTTCCTACAATCTTTTTTTAAATTTTTTATTCCCTAAAACTTGCATTGTACATACATGTACAGTACATGTACATGTAGGCCTACATGTACGTGTACCTGAAATGGTATTGTCATGGGTATAAATATAAAACTGGCAATAACCCAATGTAGCCTACATGTACAGTGTACCTGGATGATATTTTATTTCATTAGTTTTGTTTGTCTTCTTCCATATCACTTGGCAATTCTCATTTCCTGTTAATTGTTGTGATTTATCAGGTGGGTACTTCCTTATTGATGATCACATTATTTACTTTAATGCTGTGATTTCTAAACTAAATCTAAAGGAGGCCTTGGAGTGGTTAACCATGCTTTCAGCCAGCATCAGTTGATCATAGCTTTAAACATGTACAAGAAGGACCTAATATTTAATCACAGTAATAGTACATTAGATAGCAGAAAGAAGTTTTTTTAGAAAGGAAGGAATTTGAAAAAAAAGGAAGAAAAGAATATAATCCTTTAGTATGCATAATATATTCCTTTTGAGCTGTGGTGCTACATATACAAACATGTACTGTACATATGTACATGTACATTGTACACTGTATGTGTCAGATATTCTCACCTACACTGTATATGTTTGACACTGCAGTACAGTAAGCCCTTAAAACTGAAAAGACCAATGTTGTAGCACTGCTAAATGGTGTTATGTAAATGTACATGTATCTGTATTTACACTGTGGTACATCGCATGAATGTATGCATTGAGAAGACTTGTATTCTGCCAACATGTTTCAAACAGACAGTGATTTATATTTACATACAGAGTCTGCATGGTCCTTTGGAAAGTAGGCGTGTCTGAATCAATGTTTAATACATTGCTTCTAATCTGGTCTAATCATGTTTGAAGAGTCATATCATATCTTTTATTGGTGCTACACCAGATAGGGATGAGTCAAGAAAGAAGTATTTAGGATGTGCATCTGATTTCATTGCTAGGTAGTAACCAGACACTCCTGTTCACATGTTAACTCAGTAGGACTCCAATGCTAGCTGACAACTACCTCTCAGTACACAGTGCATCATTCCTTCATGCATGTACATCTGTTGGTACAGTAATGCTGTATTTTAGTCTATTTATCATACTATCTACAAAATACATTGTACAGTGTGTACATGTACATGTAATGTAGCTCAGGGCATGTTGTAGCTACAATGTACAGTACTGTACATGTGCATCATGGCTTGAAACTATAAACAGGCTTTGAAGGGCACCCAAAATTGATGTCCAGACCTGCAAAATATTTAATTTTGTACCTACATGTACATGTACCTGTTCATGTACTGTAGTACTGACTCACACTGACTGTAAAAATGCAATACGGACCCCTTTGAATATACATGTAGGCCTATAGATATATTTTCATTATCATTATTATTATTATTTTAAAATTATAAATATTTGTGTATAAATGTGCTAGTCAATCATTTTAGGATGTTATTTCTGAAGAGCATGCTTCTATTATAAAGCCCTCTAGTCATTCACAAAATAAGCAGAAGAGTCATGTTGTCTGTTGCTTCAAATACAGTAAAGTTACATAAATCTAAATTGTTTACAATATTATGGAATATATTAAATAAAGCTTTTAATACTGGGTGATCAAAATTTTGCTGAAGTCACATTTGATAAATAGAAATTGATAATATGACAAAAATGTATGCAATTATGAAGGGTATGTTGTAATGCTATTTGGGTATATATTTATTTCATTTTCTATTGAATGTGGGACCCCTTTGTGTTTGTGACATTCTTGATTGTGATGTGTCACACTGTTTCATAGAATCTCAGTGCCATTGAACCTTGTTGAATGAAACTCTAAACCACCTATGCATTGTACACAGGATCCAGTCCTATACTAGCACCACTGGACATCAATCCAGTCTAGTTTACATGCACCAGTCTGAGTCAGTCGTAGTGAGTGAGTATTGAGTGTCTGCACTATGAGACTACTGTTCATGGACATTGATGTACAATGTACTTGTAGATCTATGCAAATCTACTGCACCTCATACCCACCATAGCCCCAGACTGACAGAGTTAGGCTTGGCTTCAGACAATGTAATTGCATTTAATATTTAGTTATTAGTGTCCAAATGGAGCCTGTGCATGCAGACTAAATCCAATCTACAGTATCACATACACACCCACATATTTCCCATTTCTATTTCGTTTCAACCCAAAATGAAACTTCAGATCCCGGTCGGTCGGTCGGTCTGTAGTGCTGTGTGACTTGTTGTACATGTACATGTATGAGGGATGGGTTGTCTGCTGGCTTGTGTCAACTCAAGTTCAGGAGAGGTGGAGAACCCTAACTCCTAAAGGAGAGATCAGAATCTGGGTCAAATGCCGGAAACTTGAATCTGTCTTCTTTGAAATGATGATACTTTGCAGATCGGTACATCATGGCGGTGGTGGTTGTAGTGGGTCTGAAGATTCATGACTAATGGTGATAGTGTCATGTACATGTACAGTGTACATGAACAGTAGTATTGAAGTTCTAGACCATACATTGTACATGTACTTCCCCTAAATGTGTACCGACATGTACATGTACATTATCATTTATGAAGAATTTGAATTGGCTAATATTTTATAAGATACATGTACCAGTATATACATGTACATGTAGGCCACAAGCAAATTTAGAAAGAAGAATATTGAAATTTATTTTTTTAAACATGGTTTGTTTGCGAAAGCCAATACTTGTGAAATAGAGAAAACTTTGTGTTTTTTTTAAATCTAAAGTATGCAATGTACTTCTGACAGCTTTACACAGCATGATGGAAAAGAGCCCATGTATATTTCCTCGCATAAAAGTGACCCAAAACTATCTGAAAGCATAGTAGATTGTATAACATTGACACCAACAGTGAAAAAAATACACGGGGGCTCGGGGCGAATTAGCCCCGAAATGCCTAAAAGAGCCCCCGAAAATCAGGAAAGAGCCCCTGTAGTTTGCATAGAGTTCAATGCAAAACAAATTTTAGATTGTTATTTCATGCAGGCAAGCTTGAAAAGTAGCCCCCGAAAAATAAATATTAATTTTTTCCCTGGACACCAACCATGGTACATGTACATGTAGTACACCTTACACCAACAAACAATTCTTCTGTACATGTACCATGTTAGTACCAACTACAGCATGTACCATCCTACAAAATCCTTTGCATTTGCATACATTGTACAGCTTAGAAATTTAGCTGCAAAATGCCAAATTCCCTCTCTCTAATATTGCTAGTACAGCATTATTTTGATGGAACCATACAGTACATGTAGCTGTACATACATTAGGTCCATAATGGAACTGTGTTCATAGGCTTGTCTGACAGGCTGGCTGGATTATACTGGTGAGTTCTTACTCTTCTTCATTCCAATAATATGCTTGAGG